AATCATGCCCAGGTTTTTAGGGAAAACTGCTGGACTGCAGCTTCTGCTAAAACAAGTGAGCCAAGCTATTCCTTTTGCTAAGGTAGCCATGTTGTCGACCATGTGACCCATTCACACACTGATTGGTCAAGGTCTGCAGGTAGCCAGTTCACTGGTTGACTGGTGACCTAGGCAGTGGCTAAAGCAAAATGCTCTCCCCAAAAGAAACAATGGTGATTAAGACAATCAGATTCTCTCTAAGACATTAGACTGGCAAATATCAGGATTTTTTGTTTTGTTTTTGTGAAGATTCAAGAAAACACAGAAAGAAGAAACTTGGACATTGGCAAGAGTATATTCATGGCAGAGCACCAGAGCAAAGAGTTGGGAACTCAGGATACAGGAAGGGAGATGAGATTACCTATCTCTAGAGTAAGATTACCTACCTATAGGTAATAGGTAAGAGATTACCTATCTCTAGACTTCTGAATTATTCTAATTCCAACTTCTGCTAGACTCGGTGTACACATATTTCTGGGTTGCTGCCAGATTCTGGTTATCTTTTTGGTTGCGTATATTCATAAAACAACACATTATTCAAGAAAACTAAAGTGACTCTCTGTTTCTTGCAACCGTAAGAGCTGAAGTAAACACACCAGATTTTTCCAGAATGTCTTTGGGTCTCTTGGGCTATAGGCCAGCCAGGAGGATGCAAAGGCCAGGAAGATGTTCTGTGATTCATAGCAATGTATTTTACAGAACAAATTTCCTCTGTCATCTTCTGGGGCAGCAGGAAAAGACACAGATATCAAATCACAAGGAGCACCTGCTCAAAGCTGGCTTCTCCGACATAATTGAAATGGCTGTAGGGAGACCAGCCCATGGCACAGGAAGCTGGTGTGAGATTTCATGTCTCTTATCATGGTTTACTTGTTAAGATTGAGGTAGAGCTTAGTGGAGGGAGCAGGGCACAATCCATCCCTAGTGTCACAGGAAATATTTTAGATGGTTAGAAAAGCATCCTTCTATTAAAGATATGAGTTTATTTTTTAACTAATGGCCTACCCAGAGAAAGTTCAGATTTCTGTTTTCAATCATTTGTTTAGGACTTGATTCTCACTATTCCATTTTCTTAGTAACAATTCTTAGCAGTAAATGACTCTTGTTCTTGAGGCTGAGACACAGATATCAGGGTTTTTTTCTTTTTTAATTTTTACGGGCTCCCGATCTGAAGCAATATGGGAAAACACAAGCTGTTCTCATGGAGGTATTTTATCCCATGAGTAAAATATATCACAGAGAAAGAAGTGAGTGGGCTACAGTCAAAAAGAACATCACACTTAAAAAAAAAAGACAACACTGGAATGAAGATTATAATCTCTTAGAGAGCAGCAATTGGGTTTATCACTATATCCCTAGCACCTAGCTTAGTGTCTGAGTTGACACTTGATATCATAGTAGGTGCTCAAAGAGCTTGTTTGCTAAATAAACAAATGAATGATGCCTTACTGTATTGTGGCCAAGCATACTGCTTTAGAACCAAGCATAAATACAGATAATAAAAGGAATCTACTATGCTAGACTCAGCACACTGAGGAGCCGTTGAAGAGGCTAGCACCTGGGATGATTCCCATCATGGCCTGGGACGACTATTTCGATTATTTTTATTTCGTTCTGCTGCTCAGAGATTGATTTTAAAGAAATAAAACTAACAGACTGAATTTTCTCCTCTGTTCCATGTGAGGATTAACTTGGGTGGCGGCAGGACACTTGCTTGTCTACATCAGTGTTATGCTCTGAGTAGCCTCTCACAACCCTGAAAATATTTTTAAAAAAAACTAGACAGTAAATTGAGACCTTTCCAACATCCTTCTTCTGTAAAAATACTACAATCTCTACATTCTAATGCAAGCAAAGAAATCCATAACTTTAAGGCCTCTCATAATTGCCTTCTTTTCCTCCTCCTTCCTCTCTAAAACTAAGCAGGTTGTGTCTTCAGGCTTCTTCAAGCTCTACCATGCCACTTTCTCAGGAAAAGTCCTTGCACTGTAGGTAGGTCCAACAAAATCAAGCTAGAGGTTTTCTTTACACACATTGATGGCTTATTTATATCAGTAAAAGGATATTTCCTTCCCTCCTTCCCTTCCTCCCTTCTTCCACAAACATCTGGTCACTGTGCTATATACAAGGGGTGTAACTGTGAACAAGTGAGACAGAGTTCCCAGTCTAGATTTGGTGAGAGATTTAGATAAGTAAATGGGAAATTACAGTGCTAGATGCAATGCAATGATTAAAAAAAAAAAAAAAAAAAAGTAAGGTTGGAAGGAACCAGCCTAGGTTTAGAGGGTCTGAAGGCTTCTGAGTACATGATATTTAAGCAGAGACATAAAGGGTAACTGTGAGCCAGGTGAAGAGTTGACCTGGGGGAAAAGAATAGGGAAAGTTAAAGGAACAGTGCACCTGGCTCCTATCTGTTGGCATATCCTCCTAGGATTCCAAACTAGTCTCCCTTAACTTGCCCTTTAAGCCTCATGGATTTCAAAGGCTACAGTTCTCAGCAGGTTGATTTTTTTTCTCTTACCTGTAAGGAGTCCTGGGGCTTCATGCATTCACACTTCAAAAATGCTTTTTCTGATGCTTAGGGTAAACAAAAACTACTGCAAATTGCTCTTTGAAGACACTTGACTTCATTTAATTTCAGTGCTTGGAATAATAAAAAATTTAAATGGCACATTCCACTCCCCTTCCAGTATACACCAGAGGTTAGCCTATTCTTCAACAATTATTTATTGGATTCCTGCATGTCTAGCATGGTGCAATGAATTATTAAAGGAATCTACATAATACAATTTTGTATCACATCTTCAAGATTATGTGACAGAAATTTACGTTTTTTTTCTTTTGGAAGAAGCCTACGAAACCTGCTCACTCAGAGGACAATCACTTATTTTTAAATTTTTTTAAAAAAAGGAGGTTCTAGGATTATTTACGGTACTTTTCAACAATGTCTATTTCCATTGCACAGTCATAAATTTTAATTGCTAATACTGCATAAGAACTTCGTGCTAGATTTAACTTTTTTTCTTATTCATTTATCCACCAAATATTTACAGAGCACGTTTATTGTATTGTCCTGGGACTGAATGCAATAATTCATTATTCCAAGAACAATGCTTTGTATACAGTGATTTATAAGTATTAAAGTAGAAAGCATAAGAATATACTTTCTACTTTAATCTCTAAATCTTCAAGTTTACAATATTTAATAAAGAGTAATTCAAAAACAAAGATTTTTCCAAGAAATAAAAAAAAAAAAAAGCAGGAGGTGATATTCCAGGTGTTTTTTAAATATGCCACATAAGTCCAATTTCTGGATCATATTAACATAGAGAAGAACTCAACAGTTTGTGGGAAAGTATAAACAGGTTTAAAATCAACCTTTAAAATCCAATTAATCTATTCCAGTAGGTATTTTTATATCAATTGAGCAATAACTTTGAGCCTTAGTATCATCATCTGTAAAAAGGGTGTTTTTTTTGGTTTTTTTTTTTGAGACAGTCTTGCTCTGTCACCCAGGTTAGAGTGCAGTGGCACAATTTCTGCTCACTGCAACCTCTGCCTCCCTGGTTCAAGTGATTCTCCTGCCTCAGCCTCCCAGGTACCTGGGATTACAGGCATCCGCCACCGTGCCCAGCTAATTTTTATGTTTTTAGTCGAGATGGGGTTTCATCATCTTGGCCAGGCTGGTCTTGAACTCCTGACTTTGTGATCCACTCACCTTTGCCTCCCACAGTGCTGGGATTACAGGCATGAGCCACTGTGCCTGGCCTATATTAATGTTTATAACTGCAGTCTCTCAAAACAAACTACTTCATTACCATACGTACTACATTTAAGATCAGTCAATGTCTACAATGTTTTTAATGACTATAATATTTTATGGCTGTACCAATATTAAAATTTTATAATTAACATCCTTATAACTAAATCTTGGCATATATTATTTCCTCAAGTCTTACTGTGTTTTTCTACAAGAACAAAACAGTATAAGAACTTAAATGTAAGAAAATGTGTGCCTTTATATTTCCAGACTTACTGCCATGTTTTAAATATTTTCCCAATATTACCCAAAATATCATGAAGTGAATTTTAAGCTATAATATTTTACATTCACAAAGGTTAGGAAAATACAAATAAAATTTTGTCTAAGTTGTGTTTTTCTGTTTCCTTTTTTGAAAACATCACAGGAAATATATATGGAATTAACTGCTTTTTATAATTGCTCTGGTCATGAATATAGTAAAAAGATAAGAATATTCAAGAATATTCTCATTGTATCAAAGTGTGAAATTAAAACAGGACTACAGGCCAGGCGCAGTGGCTCATGCCTGAATTCTCCTCTTTGGGAGGCTGAGGGGGGCCAATCACCTGAGGTGAGGAGTTCAAGACCCATATGACCAACATGGAGAAGCCCCGTCTCTACTAAAAATATAAAATTAGCCAGGTGTGGTGCACATACCTGTAATCCCAGCTACTTGGGAGGCTGTGGCAGGAGAATCACTTGAACCCAGGAGGCGAAGGTTGTGCCACTGCACTCCAGCCTGGACAACAAGAGCAAAATTCCATCTCAAAAAAATTTAAAAAAAAAGGATTACAGAAATTGAAAATTGGAAATTCCTACTACCAGTCATCTTTGGTGAATACAGTGCCTGTATGATCTACAGAATTCTACCTTGACAACCAACAAATTATCTCTATTATCTCAAAGATTATTAAATGTGAGTCTGGTCTTTCTGGAACAAACATCCAGCAGATACAGCAACGTGGGGAACAAATACTGTTGATTAATGACAAGGCCCTATAATCTCCTGGGTGCAGTGAAATAAATTTCAGAAATATAAAGAAGGCATTTTTAATGGCATTCCTCTCAAATTGTGAATGTTCCTATATGCAATTTCCAACATGAATTAAGTGATCATAGTGTACTCAGAATACACCAAAAAAGCAAACTGAGACCTTGGTATAGATGTTTAAATTTTAATACCCAAGAAAACATAAGTTAAAATTGAATACAAATACTGCTGGCATAAGAAAAGAATATATACAAATTTGGATTCAAATGGGGTCATTATGTGAATCTGGATGAAGGAATACATCATAACAACCTGTTGTTGAAGGCTTTTAATAAAGTAACAGATTTTAAATCAGAGAGATACAAAAAGACTAAAGAAAGAACAGTAACTTTTCCTTAAATTCTCTTATCCATAAAGAATGGCAAATTCCATATGGACAGTAAAGTTAAAGGTCATCTAAATTATCAAGACATTTTGAAGACATAGGCCTACTCTCTGCCCAAACAGTGTAAAAATAATCGGCATTTCATTGTGTTCTGAAGTTTAATTTTATATATCAGTCATGTTAACAAACTATAACAAATAAAAATAAAAGCATTTTCCATTTTTTTAAAGTATGCATCATTACTTCTCCCAGGTACTTAAGTAATTTAAGCATAATGCTCATTTCATTAAACATTAAACCAAAAAAAGAACTTAAAATCTTGCACTGTCATGAGGAAGAGAGGAAAGTTCTTCCAACTTCAACAATGTAAAAGCTGTTTTTAAATTATGAAAATTGTTAGAAACACTAGCTCTTTAGGAGAATTTCAAAATATATCTGAAGAAACTGTCTTTTGGATATTGTTTATTCAAACAAAACTTTTGGCCAGGCCTGCCACCATGCCCAGCTGATTTTCTATATTTAGTAGCAACGAGGTTTCACCATGTTGGTCAGGCTGGTCTCAAACTCCTGACCTCATGATCTGCCCGCCTTGGCCTCCCAAACTGCTGGGATTACAGGCATGAGCCACCGCGCCCAGCCTCAAATAAGCAATTCTTTGATTAATTCTGGAATTTGTGTCAGATGCCTGTGGGATACTTTTGTTCCTGATCACACTCAATACAAAACTTAGTGTTGATATACTGTAAATTACATAATTTACATATTTATAAATTACATGGTTATAAATTACATATTGTAAAATCTACTAGGATTCATAGGTTGCTTACAATAGCATTCACTTTTTGTTTTTTGTTTTTTTTAAGTTCTAAAAGTTACTGATAAAGAAGTATTACTTGGTTTTATAAGGGAATACATGATAAAATTCTTCCTGTCTGAAAGATGTACTAAATATTTCTGATCACTAAAAAAGTAAAGCTTCCAGCACCTCTTGAACATTGACTTCACTTTCCAAAGATGTACGTATTATCTCTCTCAAAACCCAAGTCAATATAGTCAAGCTAAACCAAGTATTTGGTGACTGTCTCTCTAAAGAAGAGAAGCATCAATTATTCTGAAAACTAGCCTGCACCTATCTTTGATTTTTATCTGTACTCTTCAAGAAAAAGATCACTTATCTTTATAGATTAAGTTTTCTTGCTCTGTAATCTAAAGAACATTAGTAGCCAGCTTAAAATGCTTATTCTATGTTTGTACATTTGTGTAAACTATTATTTTTTTCTTTAGAAAACACAGTTTAAAACAGAGAAACACAAACCTGAATATTGAATAACCTATGATAATTGACAATACTGTAAGGTTATTAAAAACACCCTTAAAACTTTTCAAAGTATATTAATAATTTTTAAATAGTCACAATCCCTTAAAAATATTTACAAGTATCACCTTAGGTTGATGGAGTTTATGTAGGCATTACCTGATTGGGATATGCTTCTTGAGACAGTCTGCCTACAGTGCAGAAAACCTTGAACATATCCTGTCTACTTGCCATTGGAAAACTGAAGCCAGCATAACTTTATTAATGAAAATTAACATAATTGGGGGCCAGTCTCAGTGCCTCATGCCTGTAATACCAGCACCTTGGGAGGCAGAGGCAGGCAGATCACAAGGTCAGGAGATCAAGACCATCCTGCTGGCTAACACAGTGAAACCCCATCTCTACTAAAAATACAAAAAAAATTAGCTCAGGCTTGGTGGCTACTCAGGAGGCTGAGGCAAGAGAATCACTTGAACCTGGGAGGCAGAGGTTGCAGTGAGCCAAGATCGTGCCACTGTACTCCAACCTGAACCACAGAGTGAGACTCCGTCTCAAAAAAAAAAGAAAGAAAAGAAAATTAACCTAATTGGAAGAAATTAATTAAAATTGGTATTGTGCTATCTAGAGAAAAATAATCTCATAATTTTTACATATCGTAACTCTAAAATTATTTTAATATCATCTTAGTTTTAAAGTTGTTACAACATAATTCTGATGTTTCACATTATTTTAATGGAAAATGTCAGATCTGCACTCACAAGACATTACATTATAAAAAATTATTTTTAATATGCTAAAAGCTACTGTATCAGTTTCCCCGGTCACATTGCACAACATATAAAATATAAGGTGTCTAAGTTTTTATAGATAATATAAAAATTGTTTACAAAATTTGTTTATATAAGTTAATTTTTTTTACCAAAAATATTGGTAACAAAATATTACCAATGTAAATATAAGCCACGAAAAATAATCAGTTCCTTCTGATTTGGAAAGCTTAAAAAAATTAAATAATAAGAATTCTACCTAACACAGAGTAATGCCAACCTAATTAGCAGCAGCAATGACTTAGTATTGTTGGATCAGGCAATCCTGATCAGAAAATTAAATTAAGTGCCTTCTGTAGGGCAAATGCCAAACCATTGCTTTTTTTTTTGAACCAAAATGCAAGTAACTAATAGTAAGTGCACCACTGACAACATCAGCAGTATATAAACTCCCTATTTAATACATATTCAAAAATACAGCAACTATTGTTGAAATTCTTGTAGTGTTAAATAACTTTTACATTTCCTGTAAAAGGCAGATGTTAACAAAGATGCTATAGATTGAAAATCATATACATGTCTATTATTAATAAAAACTTTGCAGTGATTTTTCAACTGTTTGCTTCAGAAGGGTTCCTTATGGTGAATTCAGATATGTGAATTCTGATGAGCCCTTTCCTCATCCCAGCCTCCATCCCCCATATCTTATCCTTAGTGTCTGCACCTATTTGGACAAACACAAATAGGAAAATCTTTTAAGATGTGAAGCTAAGACATTCACTCTTCCTTTTCTGTTTTCTTATAATGACTATGTATTTATTTTCTAGGTTTCTTACTTCCAGTCATGACAAAATAATGGTCATCATCTTCCTTTTTCTTTGCAGTAGTTTTTTTATCTCCACTATCCACGTCCTTAACAGATGACGGTGATTTCCTGGTTGAAGCTGGGGTTTTGCCAATTTTGGGAGGCCCTTTAGTTGAATGCTGGCCCTTAGCGACAGTCTGTGCTGACTTCGGTGCAGTTTGTGTTTTGGTAGAAGACTGTGGAAGGCTCACGATGGACAGGGGGGTACGGCTAGGAGACTTCGAGGGGCTGGGCCTTGTCTTCTGGCATGTACTTTTATTCTGAGGCTGCTTTTTGGCAATGGAAACTATATTCTTATCTTTCAATTTCTGTGTAGATTTCACAGGAGAAACTGAGGACACAGAAACTGGCTGATTTAAATTCAAGGCCGATTTAAGTTTCTGTGCTGGGACTGACCTTGCTTGTGGGGTTCCATTGGATGGTTGAGACTGTGTTCCTGGACCTATGGCTATGGTTTTGGAACTGGGTTTTGTCATTTTTGCAGAGGATTGGAAAGAAGGCTTAGGCCTGACAGGTATATTTGCTTTAGGCTTGGGGCACTTTGATGAATTTGAATGTGCAGCTAAGTGAAATACTGCATCATCTCTCGAAGAAATATGATTATGTTTCACATACTTAGGTTGAGTTTTTCCAGAGCACTTATTTGGCAAAAGTGTGGACTCAGGCAGATCTGTTGAATTCTGGGCTGGAATAACCTTGGCCTTAGGGATACTGGGGGATGGAATACATTTTCTCAGTGACTTAGATATACAAGGTGCAACTCTTGGTGAAGAAGTGTTTTTACCTACTGGATTTAATGAAGCAAGTGAAGATGATACATTGTTTGAAGGAGCCTGCGGTTTCTTTGTTACACCTTTTGAAGACCTGAGCTTGGGATGAGAAGATGCTGCTGGAGAATCTGAAAATTTAGAATGGACTGACATGGAGCCCATATTACCTCCTTTCAGTGAAGATGCTGGCAGCAATGCACCTGATGGACATCCCTGTTTTTCTTTGCTTTTTGGAATACTAACTGGGAAGCTGGGTTTTGAATTTTGTTTCTGAAACATGCCAACTGCTGACAAAGGATTCATTTCAGGAGGCTGAGGAGTTCTGGCAGGAGAATCAGGTACACTTTCATTAGAAACTCCTTTCTGAAATGCTAAAATTTTTTGTTCTAGTGTGGCAAACTGTAATATTCGACAGGGGTCATATTTCAGCAGAAATCCTTGAAGAGTATCCCAGCCTCCACCAACGCGAACCATGACATGTTTTCCATGAAGCATCTGCCCCAAAGGAAAATAAAAAGTAAAGCTGTAATACTGTGAGGTTTACAGTTACAATTCATTAGCAGTTACAATTTGTGATGTCTGTGATCTATAAAATTCAGAGCATTTGCCAACAGCTTCACTACAAATTGACAGTTTCTTTCTTGTATTATTAAAATAATAAACTTAATTCATATTCAATTACACATCTAATGATACAAAGTCTTCCAATTTGTACAGAAGGTATTTATATATAACTTGCATCCTAAAAATCCAAGTTATTGCAAAAGCAGTACTGTTCAATGAAAAGTTGAATATTAGAGGAAGGAGATAGGAGAGAAGGAAAGAAGGAAAAACAAAGACATAGGAAAAAATGCCTCATAATAAGGAAAAAATAATTCTGGACTAAAGATAAAATGACTAAACCATGTACTTCACAATTTAAAATTATTTTCATATGTATTATATCAATTTAAGCTTTAAAGCATTTTGCTACAATTTATTATTGTTTTTTCTTTGCAGATGAGAAAATTATGGTTCTGAAAGATTAAGGAATTTTTCCCAAGTCATATAGCTTGGCCTGGCCTCAAATGTATGAGCTACTCCTAACCCAAACAGTACTTTTGTGAAGATAAGACATCCTGGTTCTGCCAGTATATCTCAAGTTGAGTTTTAGGGCCCTGTCCACTCAGCAGGCAAATCTGCACAATTGTATGAGATTACAAATTTTAACTCTAAATTCTATGTTCTGTGCACTATCACATCATACTGCCTTTAAAAAAAAAAGCTAATTAAAGAAAACACATGTAAATGTTTCTCTATGAGATAGGTAGGGCTGAGGAGGTAATAATAATATGTGAAATAGAAGAATGTATGTATGGTGAAATTATACTTTTAAATACTTTTATCTTATTTTCCTAAATTGGAAATCAGACAGCTCTTGTAAGGGAAGTGAAAAGAATGATGAAAAGGTGAAATTTCAATCTCCTTACCAATAAAAGGAACAATTAATCAACTGTAGATGGGACAAAGGAAGGAAATGAACATGTGTATCAGCATACTGGTATACATACTGATTCTGTGTCAGTGAGAAAAATATTTTCTGTTTAATGCCCAAAGCTTATATTATTATAAACTATATAACATTTCTTTTTTTTCCCCCATGGATACTCAATCTTATCAGATGTTTTATTTTTTCTTCTTATGATGGAAAATTATTCCTTTTTCTAAGAAAATTTGAGAAATAAGTTCCTTGGGGTCTACAAGGGAATTTCCCCTATGATATTCAATGTCTAAATAATCTTAGCTATTGAAGTTAATTGTTTGTTGTGTAATGAGTGTTTACCTAAATTCATTATATATTCATAAAAGAAATTACTCTTTGTTTTCCCTGTACAGTGAAATCCTTCCATTAATAGCATCTATTCCAATTTATTTAAGTAAAAAGGGAAGCAAAAGGTTAGTAAAGCAATAAATCCAATTTCAAAACAGTATTTATGTGTAAATAAAATGTAAATAATGGACTTACTCTTATAAAGAGTATTTTATCCCCTAGTCGGTATCGTCCTTCAGATAAATACTCAATAGAAAATCGATGAGAACAACTACAAGGAGGGTCTTCCGCAATATGTTTAACCTAAGACGACGAATAAATAGAATTTAGTGCTTGTTACAAAAAGCATTTTGTTTAAACTGCAATATTATTTGATAGCTAAGGAAAACCAAACTCAAAGATAAAAATTTAAGACAGTTTGATGATTTAATCTCTTCTCCTGTGCTTGTTAACAAATATTGAGATTAGACATTGCTAATCTAACATAAAAGCCAGCAGTGATGAAGTCAGTCTCTCTCTCTCTCTCTCTCTCTCTCTCTCTCTTTCTCTCATTTACCAAATCAAACCATTGCCCTATCTGAGGGAAAAAAATTGCTTTCAATTTTTCACCATTCTAAGTCCTAATGTGAGAAACACTTTCATTTATCCTTTTTCCCCCTTCAACCGCAATAAAAAAGTAATATTTTTGTAGCTCTTAACATTTGTCTGTTTCTTTTTCAAAAGTTTACGGCATTTTCCCTTGCCAATAGCAAACCCTAAGTACAGTTTACTAGAATTTAAAAGCAGCAGGTTTCATAATTTTAAAAAATGTTGCTAATGGGGCAAATGGTATTTCATAGTTGTTTTAATCTGATTTTCTTGATTATCAGCAAGTTTCAACACTGCACTTTCTTCTCGTGTGAACACAGACCTTGCCCATTTATTTACTGCAATGTTTTTCTTATCAAACTTTGTAAGGTCTTTATATAATACGGAAAGGAATCCACTGTATTTTCCACTTGATAAAAATATTTTCTCAATGTTTCCTTTTTATTTATCATTCTTTAAGGTTATATGAGATTCAAAATAAATTTTATTTTCTACCTACTGCATTCTTTCTGCTTCCCATATTGATAATGACAGTCTACATATATATATATATATATATATATACACACACACACACATACATATATACATGTATCAATAGTATAATATAGATATTTTGTCCAGATAAAACAGTTGTTCATTCTGACATATTCTTAATCTGTCTTTCAAGGTTATCTGATAGTTTTACCATAGATTTTTATTACATTAAACAAAACAAAGCAATACTTTAAAAATGTTTATTAGTAATGATTTATTCATTATTTCTTAATTTTGTAAATTTCACACTTTTATAAAACCCTGCATCCTTTGAATAGTTCTAAACAACAGTCTAAGCAGAAAATGTTCATACTCAGTTCACCTTCACTGTTCATACTGTAGTCACTGCAGGAGACCCAGAACCCAAGGAATGGCAATTCTATTAACTTCTACCTAATGAACAGATAAGAAGACTGTCCAATTGTAACCTATCACTACCAAGTATGCATATATTCTGCAGGAGAGAATCCTCAAAAAAAACCCCATCAATCCTCCCTCACAACTTCTCCTCCTCCTGTATTCTGCAAGTATCAGTATACCAGCATCAGTAGAGAAACTTTGGAAATCACTCTAGATTTTCTCTCTCTCTTTCTCACAATCAGTCACTAATTCCTGTCAATTCCCCTAATAATTCCTGCTAAATATGTCTTATATTTGTTCCTTGCTCCATCTCCACTATTGCTGCTCAAGTTCAAGCTCTCATCTTATGCCTGGATTATTACCATAAAACCAATATAACCTCTACATAACCATGAGCACATTCCTTATAATTTGCAAATCAGATTACAATACTACCAGACTGAAAAAAAATCAATGATCTCTTGTGGTCTATAGTACTCTTCATGATGAGTTCCAAGTCTCACCACTCCTCAACTACATATTTACTCCTTATCATACACAAGCAATAAGAAATCACCTTTAAAATATAATGCCCTGAATTCATCGGAGAATGGAGAATAGTACTGGTTTATATTCTGAATAAGAAACACTTTCTTTCAAAAATAGCATCACCTGTAGCAAACTATAAGTGCTTAAAACTATGAGACTTCAAGTCAAAAGAAAGTATAGCAACTACTTACAGCTTCATGTAGCTCTTCATGCTGACAGCATGATTTTGGAATGCTGATGGAATCTTCAGCCCCTGAAGTATTAAGCAAGGTCTCTTCTAACTCAATTTCTTTCTCAAGTTTTACTAACACTGGTGGCTCAACCCCATATCTGAAAAATAATCAGGAGATCTGATCATGCAAGCAAAGTTGACCCAAGCACTTGCCCGCATATCAAGATAGATTTTCTTTCTGAAGTAAAGTCCATATGATCCTCTTCTACCAATTGTTTCACTGGAATATTTGAAAATGCTTTTTAATGTCTTATAGATTGCAAAGTATCTATATGATAATCCTCACATCATAGCATATATTTGAGTTCTGGATGCTCCCAACATTCTACCTGGGATCCTGAAACATGGCTTCAAATGAGCTGGTGAGAAAAGAAAGATAAAACTGAAGTAGGTATGGAAGACACCACGCCTTGGCCTTCTGTCAGATCCTTTCTGTGTTCAGAGGACTTGCTTTGCCTTGAACTGCCTTAGACTACATGCTCTTACCCTATCCTTAATCTAAAAAATGTAAGTAACCACTCCCATAGTTTAACAGTAAATGAATATAAGCCATATTGAGAACCCGGATGTTGACATATGCTCATGCAAACAGAAAAGTTAATAAAGAAACAAAAAGATAAAATATGAAAACAGTTAAGACAATGTTTTTATTTATAGAAAATAGTGCCCTAAGCTAAATTCAGTAGCTTTAAAATGTTTTTAACATTGAAATTCTAAAATATCATGGAATACATACCTTGACACAATTCGACCAATTTCAAGAAGACAAAGATACACCTGTCTTGGATCTTTGTGCAAAACTGTGGAAAAATAAAACGACCTATTTTGTAGAGCAAAATTAAATTTGGAAACATACTTCTGTCATGGAAGAAGAGAGTTAAATAAAAAAGAATAATGAAGACAGTGGGTTTACTTGTTTAGAAAAAAAATGAAGAAAATACACTTTTATTTTTTCTACATATTTGACAAGTGAGTTTTTTTTTTTTTTTTTTTAATAAAAACAGCTGGCCGTGCGCGGTGGCTCACGCCTATAATCCCAGCACTTTGGGAGGCCGAGGCGGGTGGATCACGAGGTCAAGAGATCGAGACCATCCTGGTCAACAAGGTGAAACCCTGTCTCTACTAAAAATACAAAAATTAGCTTGGCATAGTGGTGTGCGGCTGTAGTCCCAGCTACTCAGGAGGCTGAGGCAGGAGAATCGCTTGAACCCAGGAGGTGGAGGTTGCAGTGAGCCGAGATCGTGCCATTGCACTCCAGTCCGGGTAACAACAGCAAAACTCTGAAACACCGTCTCAAAAAAAAAAAAAAAAACAGCTAACAAGAAAAGAATAAAAAATTACCATGGACCTTTATTTGCACAGCATTTAAAGTCTAAAAAATTAAGGGCTTAGTAATATTACTTATGTTTCAGATCTTTCAACAAGAGATACCTTTAAAAGACATATATTACCTCAATTTTATTTTAAGCCATCTTTAGCAAAGGATTATGTACTAATATCTTTCTCAAACTCTTACAGAGGAGAAAGTAATTCCTAACTCATACTAGGATGACAGTGTTACCCTGATACAAAAGGTAGCCAGATGAAGAAACCATCAGAAAACTAAAGTTCAATATGTCTTATGAATATAGATATAAAAATCTTCAGTGAAATACTAGCAGCATATGAAAGAATTATATACCATACAAGTGGCATTTATGGCAGAAATACATTGTTCAATATAAGAAAATCAACCAATGCAATATACTATTAGCAAATAAAGAAAAAACACACACAATTATCTCAAGACACAAGCATTTCACCATTTCATGATTTAAAAAAAAAAATGACTGAACAAACTATGAAAAAAAGGAAAGTTTCTCAATCTGATAAAGGACATCTAGGAAAAACCCACAGCCAATATCATTCTTAAAGGTAAAAAGATTGAAAGTCTCCCTCTCAAGACCAGGAAAAGAGAAGGATGTCCACTCTTATTATTCCTACTCAGCATTGTATTAGAGATTGTAACCCTGGTATTTAAGCAAGAAAAATAAATAAATTATATCGAGACTAGAAAGGAAGAAGAAAAACAATCTCTATTAACAGATGACATAGGCCATACATGGTGGCTCACACCTATAATTCTAGCACTTTGGGAGACTGAGGCAGGAGGATGGCTTGAGGCTAGGAATGTGAGACCAGCCTGGGCAAAAAAGTGAGACTCTCTACAATTTTTTTTTTAATTAGCCAGGCAGCCAGGCGCAGTGGCTCACGCCTATAAATCCCAGCACTTTGAGAGGCTGAGGCAGGCAGATCACAAGGTCAAGAGATCAAGACCATCCTGGTCAACATGGTGAAACCCTGTCTCTATGAAAAATACAAAAATTAGCTGGGCGTGGTGGTACACGCCTGTAGTCCCAGCTACTCGTGAAGCTAAGGCAGGAGAATTGCTTGAACCTGGGAGGCAGAGGTTGTGGTGAGTCAAGATGGCACCATTGCACTCCAGCATGGGCAACGAGAGCAAAACTATGCCTCAAAAAAAAAAAAAAACAGCCAAGCATGGCTGGGCACAGTGGTTCATGCCTATAATCCCAGCACTTTGGGAGGCCAAGATGGGCAGAATGCCTGAGGTCAGAAGTTCGTGACCAGTCTGCCCAACATGGTGAAATCCCATCTGTATTAAAAATACAAAAAAATTAGCCAGGTGTGGTGGTATCCACCTGTAATCTCAGCTACTCCACAGGCTGAGGCAGAGGAATTTCTCAAACCAGGGAAGTAGAGGTTGCAGTGAGCTGAAATTGTGCCACTGCACTCCAGCCTGGGCAACACAATGAGACAAAAAAAAAAGTGTGTGCATGGTGGCACACACTTGAAATTCCAGATACTCAAGAGGCTAGAGCAGGAGGATAAACTGAGTTCATGAGTTTAAGGCTACAGTAGGCTATTATCGTGCCACTATACTCCAGTCCTGGGTGACAGAGTGAGACCCTGCCTCAAAAAACAAAACAAAACAAAACAAAAAAACAAGCAAATGAAAAACAGGCAACATAATCCTATGTATAGAAGAAAATCCTGAAGAACCTACAAAATAACTGTCAGAGCTAATAAGCAAGTTCAGCAAGTTGCAGGAGGTAACATCCATACACAAAAATTCATTGCATACACTAGAAATGAATAGTCTGAAAATGAAATGAAGAAAATAATTCCATTTACAATGGCTTCAAAGAAGAATAAAGTACTTAGAAATAAACTTAATCACAGAAGTGTAACACTTGTACACTGAAAACTACAAAACACTGTTGAAAGAAATTTTAAAAGATTATAAATATCATATTTATAAGCATAAAGGCATCTCATGTTCATGAATTGGAAGATAATATTGCTAAGATGGCAACATTCCCCAAATTGACCTACATATTCAGTGTAATCCCTACCAAAATTACAATAGCCTTTTTTTTTCCAGAAAAGGAAAAGCTGATGATAAAATTTATATGGAATTGCAAAGAACACAGAAAAACTAAAACAATCTTTAAAAAGAAGAATAAAGTTGGAGACTCACACCTCCCAATTCCAAAACTTACTATAAACTACAATAATCAAGACAGTGTATCACTGGCATAAGGATAGATATATAGACCAATGGAATGGAAATAAGTGTCCAGAAACCCATACATTTATGTACAATTAATTTCAACAGGATGCTAAGACAATTCAATAAGGAGAAAACAGCCTTTTCAACAAATGGTGTTGGCACAACTGGACATCTACATGCAAAAGAATGAATTTGAACCCCTACCTCCCACCATATACAAAAATTAACTCGAAATGGATCCATGACCTAAAAGTAAGAGGCAAAAAGTGTAACACTTATAGAAGAAAGCATAGGTAAAAAAATGTATGACCTTGATTAGGCAATCAATTTTTAGATGACAAAAAGTATGGGCAAGCAAAAAAAAAAAAAAGATGAATGTCATCAAATTTCAAAATTTTTGTATATCAAAGGACACTATTAATAAAGTAAAAACATAACCCAAAGGCTAGGAGAAAATATTTGCAAATCCTATCTAATATGGGCCTAGTATCTAGAATACATAAAGAATTCTTGCGAGTTAAAAAAAAAAAAGGACAAATGACTCAATTTTTAAAATAAGCAAAGGATTTGAACAGATATTCTCCAAAGAAGTTATACAAGTGGTTAACAAGCATATAAAAAGATGTTCAATGTCCTTAAGGAAATGCAAATCAAAACCACAACAAAATGCTACTTCACACCCACTAGGATGGTTATAATAAAAACAAAAACAGGCAATAACAAGTATTAACAAAGATGTGGAGAAACTGGAACACTTGTGCACTGCTGGTGGAAATGTAAAATGGTACAGCCACTTTGAAAACAGCTCCTCAAAAAAGATAAACAGAAAATTACCATATTATCTAGAAATTCTACTGCTAGGTATATTTCCACTGCTAGGTATACAAATTCCACTTCAAACTTTGCACATAAATGTTCACAGTAACATTATTCATAATAGCCAAAAAGTGGAAACAATCCAAATGTCTACTAGCTGATGAATGGATTAAAAAAATATGGCATAGCTATACAATGGAATATTAGTCTACCATAAAAAGGAATAAAGTACTGTTACATGACACTACAACATAAATGAACCACTGTGCTAAGTAAAATAAAAAGACAAAAAAGGCCACATATTGTATGATTCTATTTATATGAAACATCCAGAATATGCAAATCCATAAAGACAGAGAATAGTGGTTGCCTTAGCATGAGGGAAAAGAATAATTGGGACTAATTGCTAATAGGCATAGATTTTCTAGAAATGTTCTGAAATTAGTAGTAATGAATGTACAACATGGTGAATATACTAAAAGACTACTGAAATGTACACTTTATGAATTTTACATTATGTACATCATATCTCAATTTTTATGCTACTACAAAAGAAACCTAATACACTTAAAAATGGTTAAGATAGTAATTTTTTTTTGAGGGGTTTCACTCTTTCACCCAGGCTGGAATGCAGTGGAGCTATCTTGGCTTACTGCAACCTCCGCCTCCCAGGTTCAAGCAATTCTCCTGCCTCAGCCTCCTGAATAGCTGGGACTACAGGCATGCGCCGCCACACCCAGCTAATTTTTGTAGAGACGGGGTTTTGCCATGTTGGCCAGGATGGTCTCAAACTCCTGACCTCAGGTGATCCGCCCATTGTCAGATCAGCGGCAGCATTAGATTCTCATAGGAGCTCAAATCTTATGAGATTCCATTACAGGCGTGAACCACTAGGCCCAGCCTAAGATAGTAAATTATATGTGCATTTTAATATAATTTTTAAAATAAAAATACATTTAAAAGGAAATACAATACAAAGGTAAACAGGGATCCTTAAAAAAATTTTTTTAAGCCTGATCATAGAACACATACTAAAAGCAATGATATAGTAATTGTGGATCATCTACCTTTCTATTCCAGTCCTTAAAGTCAGAAACTCTAGGAAACTTCTGAATCCTAATCTAATCATGTGCAATGTATGCATGAATTGCATGTGCGCTGATTCCCCCAATAGAAATGGTAATTGTCCTTTGATTTATGAATAGCATCTATTACATATCCGAAGCACAAAGTATACGCTTTCAAAGCAATAAAAAGCCTACATTTGAGATTAAAATTCATACCAAAAGAGGAATTTATCCTAAAATTTTTATTAAACTTGTTTTCATAAATACTTTCTAAGTACCTTAAAATAGTGTATTTGTTTCATAAAATAGCTTTGAGTTGCTAGCAAAGTGTGAAAAATTAAGAGGCTTATCTCTGAGACCTTTGGAGAGTAAAACATTAGCTCTTCAGTTCAATGCCTAGAAATGAATTACTGGTATTGACAGTGCTTTACTTAGTCCTATAAAGACTTTCAGGACAGTGAGAAGATGCCTTCCACTGAAAATGAGAAGTATATAACAATTTTATGTCCTTTCAGAAACAATAAACTAGAAACTAAAGAATTCAAAGCATTTCCACTTTCTTTTGATCTCTAGAAACTAGATGTGCCATTACATAAACTACACTGTCAATAATGATCAGCCTATCTGGATCTCAAGCAAGATGCAAACAGAGGGATAAAATAGCATCCCATGCTTGCTCTACACTGGATAGGGGTGCCCAGATGCAGAGCAAATGAGACAGCTTACCCTGTGTGCAGGCAATAAGGGTGTGCACTGTCAGTAGAGAATTTTAAAACAATAATACAACCAACTAAAAGTCAGTTTGCTTTTTACTATTACCACAAACCAGCAATTCTAAACAATGTCAGTGATAAAAAAAAAAACCTCTACCAGGGCAGATAGCTCCCACAGCCACTGCCCATGGCACACTGCTGCACTTACCACATTATGAATTCAGTGTGTGGGGGTGGGGTGTGGGTGTGTATGTACACATATATAAATGCTTTCAAATATAGTATAAAACTTAAATACCACTTTAGTCACTGCACAGATACTTCTGTTGACTTAAAGGAAATGAAACTGACTTAAAGGAAATAAAAGCTAAACACCATGATTATACATTAGGCCTTCTGTCATTTTCATAATTATCTGCTTAAAGGGAAGTTACTATTAATTTAGACTTGGTAGAGTAATTCTTAATGAAAATATTAATTACTAAAGCATTAGTCCAGAACCCTCCTGTAGCCAACTCATTTAGGAATTTAGAATTTTAAGGCATTATAGATACACAAAATCTTTAACACTAAGTGAAAAGGTTAATATATTTGATTTAGTATCTGATTCTCCAGAAGTTTTACATATATTTAAAGTATAAATTTTTCTAGGAAAATAAGATGAGGCATTTGAGTCCTTATTTGGAAAGAAATATTAGAGGTGACAGATCTTAAGACATCCTAATAAGCATTAAAAACAAGAATGACAACCATATCACTTACCTAAACCTTCAGATTCAAAGAGGTAAGTTTCATCAATTCCAATGTCCCTACACCAGTGAAGGAAGTTTGCAGTATTGTCTCGAGCAAAGAATGAACCTGATGCAGCATCTTTCTTACAGGGCACTTTTCTCATTGGAAAGTTCTAGAAAAGACAAAATGGTTTCAAAAATGTATCAAGGATATTTTCATTAAATATTCATTTTGATATTACTAAATAAATGTTCAATCCACCACCTGTAGCTAAAAAGTATGCAACTTTAGAGAAAAAAGATACTTTCAAAAACTATTTTATCTTACTTTAAAGCAGAGGTCCCCAACCCCTGGGCCACAGACTGGTACCAGTCCATGGCCTGTTAGGAACCAGGCTGCACAGCAGGAAGTGAGCAGTGGATAAGCATGCATTATCACCTGAGCTCTGCCTCCTGTCACATCAGCTGTGGCATTAGATTATCATAGGAGCTCGAACCCTATTGTGAACTGCATATGCAAGGGATCTAGGTTGCATGCTCCTTATGAGAATCTAATGCCTGATGATCTGAGGTGGAACAGTTTTTCATTCCAAAACCAACTCCCACCCAAATCTGTGGAAAAACTGTCTTCCATGAGACTGGATAATGATCATAGAACATATATTAAATGCAATGATACAGTAATTGTGGATCATCTACCTTTCTGTTCCAGTCCTTAATGTTAGAAACTCTAGGAAACTTATGAATCTGAATCTAATAATGTGCAATGTATTCATGAAGATTGGGGACTACTACTTTAAAGTATATTCCAGAAAATGATTCCTAGAAAAACAATTTGGTCAAAACTAGCAGTAGGGTCACTCACCTCTTTTATAAAATGACACAAGAATCTTAATTGAAATTAAAACTGACAGCCTAATAATTGCAAAGCACATCTCTATGGTATGTCTCTCTATACATAGTTTAATACAAACCTCAAATTATTGCTGTTAGAAGTTAACAGATGGGCATGATGGCTCACTTGTAATCCCATCACTTTGGGAGGCTAAAGCAGAAGGACTGCTTGAGTCTAGGAGTTCAAGACCAGCCTGGGCAACACAGTGTGACCCCATCTCTACAAAATATTTTTTTAAATATTAGCCATGTGTGGTGACACGTAGCTAAAGTCCCAGCTACTCAGGAGGCTGAGGTGAGAGGATCACTTGAGCCTAGGAGTTCCAGGATGCAGTAAGCTATGATCATGCCACTATACTCCAGCCTGGGCAACACAGCAAGACTCATTCTCAAAAAAATAAATAAAAAAGAATCACAGACATCCATTTTTGCTTACTTCCTTCCGTGCAGATTCATAAAGATGGTTCTGAGTTTCTTGAGAAGACTATCAAATAAGGAAGTAGTTGCTCCTTCTTAATTAAAGTTCTTTGAAAACTGATGATCTAAGTTACACAGAATTTTAATTTTTTTTTTACTATCTGGTCCAAGAGTAGATAATTCTCATGAGGCTAAGGGATTTTTTTTTGTTTTGTTTTGGTTTAAATTTTTACTTGTATAAGCAATTCATGAATATGATTTTTGTTAATGCAATAGGTACAGTAGGATATTAAATCTTTCTCCCCCAGTTCTTATCCCCAGTTCCTCTCTTTCCATAGAGTTAACCACTATTACCAGTTCCTTGTACATCCTTCCTGGTACTATTTATTTCCAAAACTAAAATAACCTTCAAAGTTTGTTTCCTGATTAAATACAGAATATACAATCATTGTGGGGCGGGGCGGGGGTGGGGGGGAACTACATCAAACCAACAGCAAAATACAAAGTATCAACTGAAATCCACTCACCCACATTTTGGTGAGACATCTCTGCACAACTCTACACATATTTGTATCCACAAAACATCACATAAACAAACTATTCTTCAATTTGATTTCTGTGTGTATATGTGCATATACACTAAATGACAGGTAGACATCATCTGGGGTTCAAAATAGCATATTTTCTTAAAAGTTTCTAATGAGGGGGGAGGACTCAAGATGGCGCTGTGAGAACAACCCAGGATTGGAGCTCTCGCTGTGTCCACGGAGAGGTGAGTCTGAGCCGCATTTCCAGACTGATCTTTGTTGCCCACGGAACGGGGAAATTCCCAAGTGAAGAGGAGACGCGGTACGCCAGGCAGAAACTCTGCCTGGCGAAGCCGGCAGCCGGGGTGGCGGCGGCCGGCCCTACCCAGCGCTCCCCACAGGGCGCGCTCGTCCGGGTGCCCCGTTGAACCGACAACCGGAGACGTGAGAGGGCTGGACTTGAGACTGAGCTAGACTTGGACAGTGGGCCAGCCCAGGGGATTGCAGGGACAGAGCGTTAGGAGTGGCCCAGTGGGACGAACAAAACCGCGATTTCAAACAAGCCCCGTGCAGAGGGCCCGAGACGCTCTGAGGGGGAGGGGCGTCCACCATTACCGAGGCAACCCGCCCCAACTGAGATACACGCCCATTGCTGAGGCAGCCAGCCGCTGCCGAGGCAACCCGTCCCTACTGAGATACACGCCCACTGCTGACGCAACCTGCCGTTGCCGAGGCAACCCGCTACAACAGAGAGACTCCGCCGCAGGGCGTGGCGGGGAACAGCAGAACAGCAGAGCCAGGGCGAGTGTCACAACAGCAGGGCAGAGCCTCGGCAGGCAAACAGTGGCTAGTCTGCGTCCTAGCTGGGCAGGACCTCAACGGACATCGAAATATAAAGCCCAAACCCCTCAACACAGAGCATTTGAGAAAAAAAGGTTTTTTTTAATGAGCTCTGTTGCAGCAGAATCAAACATAGCAGCCTAACAGCCCTGAATGAACAACAGAGCTCACAGCTCAGCAATCAAGCTCCTATAAAGTACAAACTGTCTCCTCAAGCAGCTCCCTGACCCTTCTATATCCAAAAGACTGACATTAGGCAGGCATCATCCTGGGACAAAGATAGCAGAAAAAGAAACTGGTAGCATCCCTCACTGTGCCACAGCTGCTAGAGGTGCACCCCAGACAAGCAGGGTCTGGAGTGGACCTCAGCAGTCGTACAGCGAAGGGGCTAGACTGGTAGAAGGAAAACCAAGTAACAGAAATACTTCATCATCAACATTCTGGGTGTCCAAACGAAAAGTCAGCAACTATGCAGACGACCAGCGGACAAATCCACAAAAATGGGAAGAAACTAGCGCAAAAAGGAGGAAAACACCCGAAACCAGAACACCTCGCCTCCTAGAAAGGACGAAAACTCCTCACCAGCAAGGGAACAAAGCTGGATGGAGAATGACTGTGACGAAATGACGGAATTAGACTTCAGAAGATGGATAATGAGAAACTTTTGTGAGCTAAAAGATCATGTATTAAATCAATGCAAAGAAACTAAGAACCTTGAAAAAAGATTTGAAAAAAGATTCGAGGAAATGATAACAAGAATGGGTAACTTAGAGAGGAATATGAATGAATTAAAGGAGCTGAAAAACACAATACGAGAACTTCGCGAAGCATGCACAAGTTTCAATAGCCGAATTGACCAAGCAGAAGAAAGAATATCTGAAGTCGAAGACCAACTCAATGAAATAAAACGAGAAACCATGATTAGAGAAAAAAGCGCAAAAAGGAATGAACAAAGTCTCCAAGAAATGTGGGACTATGTGAAAAGACCTAACCTACGTTTGATAGGTGTACCAGAAGGAGATGAAGAGAATGAATCCAAGCTGGAAAATACTCTTCAGGACATCATCCAGGAAAATTTCCCCCACCTAGCAAGACAGGCCAACACTCAATTGCAGGAAATACAGAGAACACCACAAAGATATTCCGCAAGAAGAGCAACCCCAAGGCACATAATCGTCAGATTCAACAGGGTTGAAATAAAGGAGAGAATACTAAGGGTAGCCAGAGAGAAAGGTCGGGTCACCCACAAAGGGAAGCCCATCAGACTCACAGCAGATCTCTCGGCAGAAACACTACAAGCCAGAAGAGAGTGGGGGCCAATATTCAACATTCTTAAAGAAAAGAACTTTCAACCCAGAATTTCATATCCAGCCAAACTGAGCTTCAGAATTGAAGGAAAAATAAAATCCTTTGCGAACAAGCCAGTACTCAGAGATTTTGTCACCACCAGACCTGCTTTACAAGAGCTCCTAAAAGAGGCACTACACAAAGAAAGGATCAACCAGTACCAGCCATTCCAAAATCACACTGAATGCTAAAGAGCATCAACATAATGAAGAATCTACAACAACTAACAGGCAAAACAGCCACTTAGCATCAAAATGGCAGTATCAAATTCACACATAACAATATTAACTCTAAATGTAAATGGACTAAATGCACCAATCAAAAGACACAGACTGGCAAATTGGATAAAAATCCAAAACCCATCAGTGTGCTGTATACAGGAAACCCATCTCACATGCAAGGATACACAAAGGCTCAAAATAAAGGGATGGAGGAAGATTTACCAAGCAAATGGAGAGCAAATAAAAGCAGGAGTTGCAATTCTCATCTCTGATAAAATAGACTTTAAAGCAACAAAGATCAAAAGAGACAAAGAAGGCCATTACATAATGGTAAAAGGATCGATACAACAAGAAGAGCTAACAATCCTAAACATATATGGACCCAATGCAGGAGCACCCAGATACATAAGGCAAGTTCTTAATGATTTACAAAAGGACTTAGACTCCCACACAATAATAGTGGGAGACTTTAACACTCCACTGTCAATACTAGAGAGATCAACCAGACAGAAAATCAACAAGGATATCCAGGGCTTGAACTCAGACCTGGAGCAAGCAAACCTGATAGACATTTACAGAACTCTCCACCCCAAATCCACAGAATACACATTCTTCTCAGCACCACATCACACCTACTCTAAAATTGACCACATAATTGGAAGTAAAGCACTGCTCAACAAATGCAAAACAACTGAAATCATAACAAACAGCCTCTCAGACCATAGTGCAATCAAGTTAGAACTCAGAATTCAGAAACCGACCCAGAACCGCACAGCTTCACGGAAACTGAACAACTGGCTCTTGAATGTTGACTGGGTAAACAATGAAATGAAGGCAGAAATAAAGAAGTTCTTCGAAACCAATGAGAACGAAGACACAACATGCCAGAACCTCTGGGACACATTTAAAGCAGTCTCTAGAGGAAAG